GGATCCTTAGATTCAGAAAGAAGTCTCAGGGAGTCTTCCATCAATTTCCCTTGGCTGACTACCGGAGGCTTTCGGACGGAGGGATGGGGGAGTTGCCCAGCTTCATCCCCAATCCTCCCTTTCATACAGTTCCCACAAGCTCTGCAGTTTGCAAAACCCTACCGCTCCCCTGAGGGCCTGCGGTTTCCTGCGGGTCTGGGGTCTTGCCTGACTTGGCAGTGGAGACTGCGGGCAGTGGAAAGAGGAGGAGGTGGTGTAAGCCCTTTCTCATGCTGGGGCTGCCACACACACACACACAAAAACACACACACACACCCTGTCCCCTGAGTCAGCACCCGCCTGTCAAGGAAGGGTGGGGTCACAGAAGCGCCTCCTTAAAGCCCCCACAACAGCAGCTGCAGTCAGACACTGCCACCCTCACCATGAGCCTCTGGCAGCCCTTGGTCCTGGCACTCCTGGCATTGGGCTGCTGCTCTGCTGTCCCCCGACGGCGCCAGCCCACCCGAGTGGTCTTCCCTGGAGACCTGAGAACCAATCTCACTGACAGGCAGCTAGCAGAGGTGGGCAAACACCTAGTCGAGAGCTGGGGAGGGCTGTTCGGGACGGTGCTGAGTGTCCCAGAGAGGACATAGGGCCTCGGAGGAGATGCTTTAGGGGTGTGTTGGTGGTGATGGGCATATCTGAAGAAGAGAGGTGTCCAGGATTAGGCAATGGGGGTCTTGTGGAGCTTTTGAGCAGTGATGGCCAGAAATGGGGAATGGGGCTTTCCTAGGTGGGAAATGGGAAATGTTTTGGGGTCGGGGAGGCATTGGAGGGTCCTGGGGTAAGCATGGGCTGGGAGTGACAGGGGTAAACCTTATGCAGCTGTGGGGTAGAAATGGGCTAGCGACATCCAGGGGTGAGAAAGAGCTGAGGATGTGTAAGGGAGGGGAGATTCCTGGGTGGTCAGAAAGCACTGGTGTCTGGAAAGCATTTATACTTTATTAAATGCTAGTCCCTGCCGGGCATGGGGTCGCACCTGTAATCCCAGCACTTTGGGAGGCCGGGGTGGTAGGATCGCTTGAGCTCAGGAGTTTCAGCCCAGTCTAGGCAACATAATAAGATCCCATCTCTACAAAAAGTTAAAGAAATAGCCAAGCACAGTGGTGAGAACCTGTAGTTCCAGCTATGCAGAAGGCTGAGGTGGGGGGATGGATTGAGTTCAGGAGGTTGAGGCTGCAGTGAGCTATGATTGGGTGCCACTGCATTCCAGCCTGGGTGACAGAGTAAGAGACCTTATCTCTTCAAGAAAACAACAACAACAACAACAAAAGATTCCCTCCATGAGTGTCTGGAGGGAGTCCTGGCCCAGTTGGGTAGAGAAACGGGTCAGAGCTCTGACATGTGTCTGCCCCTGCACCAACAGGAATATCTGTACCGCTATGGTTACACTCGGGTGGCAGAGATGCATGGGGAGTCGAAGTCTCTGCGGCCTGCCCTGCTGCTTCTCCAGAAGCAACTGTCCCTGCCCGAGACCGGTGAGCTGGACAGCGCCACGCTGAAGGCCATGCGGACCCCACGGTGCGGCGTCCCAGACCTGGGCAAGTTTCAAACCTTTGAGGGCGACCTCAAGTGGCACCACCACAACATCACTTATTGGTGAGCCGGGGCTGCGGGGGCGGCGGGGTGGGGCAGGGAGGACGGGTCTGGCTCCTGGGCCAGCGGTGAACATGTCCTGTCTTGGACGTGTCCCTGGGTTTCCCTACTTAATGTGTGGCCTGTGGGAGAGGGTCTCCACCTCTGAGCCTCTGTTTTTCCTTCAGGGAAATGGCTCTTGCCATCCAAGCCTTCCTGCCAGGGCCATTGTGAGGGTCTAAATAGAAAACAAAACCCCAAAAAACAGTCTGGAAGCGATTAATAGAAGAGAGCGTGACGGCAGGGAGTGTATGTTGGTCTCTGCGATATGGGCTGTCCCTGCTGCCCCGCTCCAGCCTCTCACCTCTGACCTCTTTCCTCTGGGCTCTTCCGCTACAGGATCCAAAACTACTCGGAGGACTTGCCGCGGAAGGTGATTGACGACGCCTTTGCCCGAGCCTTCGCGCTGTGGAGCGCGGTGACGCCGCTCACCTTCACTCGTGTGTACAGCCAGGACGCAGACATCGTCATCCTGTTTGGTGTTGCGGGTGAGAACGCGAGGAGGGAAAATCCAGGAGAACTGGGCGGGGTCAGGGAAGGGAGGACCACCGTGAGCTTGGAGGCAGCTGCGGCGCTGCTTCCTCTTGCCTGCCGGCGCTGCCCTGGCTTAGGCGGCCCCTCCCGCCAGACAGTGCGCAGGGCCAGGGCGCCAGGCTCCGAGAGCTTCGCGCAGGCAGGATTTCAGTCCGCACTTATTTCGGAGTCCTTGCCGTGGGCAGCGCACAATCTGCGCAGCAGTACTTGGCGAATCCTCTTCCTCTTCACCGGTTTCTTCAGAGCATGGAGACGGGTATCCCTTCGACGGGAAGGACGGGCTCCTGGCACACGCCTTTCCTCCTGGCCCCGGCATTCAGGGAGACGCCCATTTCGACGATGAAGAGTTGTGGACGCTGGGCAAGGGTGTCGGTGAGATCCTGAAGCGTCCTGGTCCCCCGATTCCCTTTTCCTCTCCCTCCCATCACCAGCCGCCCTGACTCCGATCCCCCTCCTCCCGCAGTGGTTCCAACTCAGTTTGGAAACGCAGATGGTGCCGCCTGCCACTTCCCCTTCACCTTCGAGGGCCGTTCCTACTATGCCTGCACCACCGACGGTCGCTCCGACGGCGTGCCCTGGTGCAGTACCACGGCCAACTACGACAACGACCTCCGATTTGGCTTCTGCCCCAGCGAGAGTGAGTGTGGGGGCGCGCCGAGGGCCGGGGGCGCCCACCACCCTTGACAGTCCTGGGTTCTAATTCCAGCTCTGCCACTAGTGCTGTGTGGCCTGCAATTCACCCTCCCGCATTCTGGGCCTAATTTTCTCATCTGAGAAACGAGGAGAGGAGGGATGAACTGCAGACCGTCCATGGGTCAAAGAACAGGACACACTTGGGGGTAATAATGTGCTCTCTCCGCCTTCTCCCTCTTTCCCACCTCCTCCTCGCCCCAGGACTCTACACCCAGGACGGCAATGGTGACGGGAAACCCTGCCAGTTTCCATTCATCTTCCAAGGCCAATCCTACTCTGACTGCACCACGGACGGTCGCTCGGACGGCTACCGCTGGTGCGCCACCACCTCCAACTATGACCAGGACAAGCTCTACGGCTTCTGCCCGACCCGAGGTACCTTGGCCCAGCCTAACAGGTTCAGCTCTGCCCTCTCATCACGCATTGGCCCCCGAAACGCGGCTCCTCCGCCCATCAGTTTGTCTTTCCACTCTCATTGGTCCTCAGGACGGCCGTGACTCCGCCCACTTTCACCACATCCCCCGCCCCCACCATCCCTGACTTCCAATGGCCTCGCCCCACCACCGAGGCTCGGCCTTTTCTGCTCAGCTGGCAGCCTCTTCCTTGGTCTGGTGTCACAGGCCCCGCCGACAGGTCTAGCCTCGTCTCAAGAGTGCTCTACAGTGCCCCCTACGCCACCAAGATTGTCTAGCTCCCTATCGGGTCGGCCCATGGTTCCCTATTGGTCTCATTGACCTGGCTCATCCGAAGCCTTGGGTCTCCCCAGCCGACTCAACAGTGATCGGGGGCAACTCGGCGGGGCAGCCGTGCGTCTTCCCCTTCACCTTCCTGGGTAAGGAGTACTCATCTTGTACCAGCGAGGGCCGCGGAGATGGGCGCCTCTGGTGCGCTACTACCTCGAACTTTGACAGCGACAAGAAGTGGGGCTTCTGCCCAGACCAAGGTGGGCGGGGTCCTGAGACCCGGGGGCTGGGGTTCCCGGCTGTGGTGGTGATGGGGTGGCCAGGACTAGGGCCTCGGCCCGGCGCTCACTTTTCAGGTTCCCTCTCCCTCCAGGATACAGTCTGTTCCTCGTGGCGGCGCACGAGTTCGGCCACGCGCTGGGCTTAGATCACACCTCAGTGCCAGAGGCGCTCATGTACCCCATGTACCGCTTCACTGAGGATCCCCCTTTGCATAAGGACGACGTGAAAGGCATCCAGCACCTCTATGGTAAGGCTCTGGGGCAGGGATGGAAGGAGGAGAGGAAAGGGTGTGGCTGTGGCGTGGTACCAAAGAATGAAGGTTTGGGGTTCGGGGGAGGAACGGGGGTGCAGGAGAGGTGGGACCTCAACGTCCATCTGGAAGTAGAGCTTGGGCCCAGTCGCTGCCATGTCAGTGCTTAGAGATGATGTTAAAGAGACTCTAGAGAGAAATAGGCATGGCTTCAAAAGGCAGTCTAGGCTGGGCATGGTGGCTCATGCCTGTAATCCCAGCGCTTTGGGAGACCCAGGCGGGAGGATCGCTTGAGCCCAGGAGTTCCAGACCAGCCTCGGCAACACAGCCAGAATCCCATCTCTAGAATAAATAAATTAGGCGTGAAGGGACATGCCTGTAGTCCTAGCTACTCTGGAGGCTGAGGAGGGAGGATCCCTTGAGCCCAGGAGTTCGAGGCTATAATGAGCTATGATTGCACCACTGCACTCCATTCTGGGCCATAGAGGATGTCAGAAAAAAAAAAAAAAAAAAAGTCTTGTGGTTGCGGGAGGTTGAGTGAGGAGTGTGTGTGCCAGAGGGGGCCTCACTGAGCAGCTTTGGGAAGCAGATGTTCTAGGGGGACAGAGGTATGCGGGAATAGGGAGTGTCTCATCACATGTCTCTTTTTAGGTTCTCGCCCTGAACCTGAGCCACGGCCTCCGACCACCACTACACTGCAGCCCACGGCTCCCCCGACTGTCTGCCCCACCGGACCCCCGACTGTCCGACCCTCAGTGGGCCCCACAGGTCCCCCCTCAGCCGGCCCCACAGGTCCCCCGACTGCTGGCCCTTCTGCGGCCACTACTGTGCCTTTGGATCCGGTGGACAATGCCTGCAACGTGAACATCTTCGATGCCATCGCCGAGATTGGGAACCAGCTGTATTTCTTCAAGGATGGGTGAGGAGGCAGGGATGTGTGGATGCGGGAGGGGGCCTGGTGGAGGAGCTGCCTGTCCCTCCCCGCCCATGGGCCCTGGGTGCAAGGCTCAGAGCCCGTCCTTTCCCTCCTCGCGTCCTCAGGAGGTACTGGCGATTCTCTGAGGGCAGGGGGAGCCGGCCGCAGGGCCCCTTCCCTGTCGCCGACACGTGGCCCGCGCTGCCCCGCAAGCTGGACTCGGCCTTTGAGGAGCCGCTCTCCAAGAAGCTTTTCTTCTTCTCTGGTTAGTTCCCTTCTCCCTCTCCGCCGCCGCGTCAATCCCCATCAGTCAAGGAGGCCCAAGAGACCATCGATAACCCACGAAACGTCTTGTGCGTTTTAGAAAAAGACGCCCCCTGGCGGACGCAGTTTAGCAAACGTCGGGGCGGCTGAGATTCTGCCCCCTCCTCTCCACGCCCTTGCGCCCCCCGACCCAGCGCCTCTGGCCCTGCAGTGCAGGGACTGCGGGCACGCGGGCTGGGAAAGGCCTCGCCGGATCTCCTTCCTCGCGTTCTAGAAGAGTGCGTGCGCACTCTGCGCCCCCAGACCGACGTGACCCTCCTCCCCTGCAGGGCGCCAGGTGTGGGTGTACACAGGCGCGTCGGTGCTGGGCCCGAGGCGCTTGGACAAGCTGGGCCTTGGCCCCGACGTGGCTCAGGTGACCGGGGCCCTCCCGCGCGGCGCGGGAAAGATGCTGCTGTTCAGCGGGAGGCGCGTCTGGAGGTGAGCGCCGCCGCGGCCGCCGGCAGGGGGAGCCCGGGCGCCGTCCGCCGCCCGCCCGCCCGCCGCCTCAGCACCTGTCTCCTCGGCGCCTGCCCGCAGGTTCGACGTGAAGACGCAGATGGTGGATCCCCAGAGCGCCAGAGAGGTGGACCGGATATTCCCCGGAGTGCCCTTGGACATGCATGACGTCTTCCAGTACCGAGGTGAGGGCTGAAGATGAGGGCAGGGGAGGGTCCCTTCATGAGACACCACCCTGGGCTCCTCTGTCTTAGTGATTGGTCAAATTCTGAGCGAGGAAGAAAAAGCCCTTTGGAAACGGAAGCAAGTGTCCCAGCCCAGACAAGATCCCAGTAGAGGCAGCGGCCTTCTCCAGGTCATATAGGAAGTCAGGGATGCAGCCAAGACCAGGACCCAGATTTCCTGCCTCCCCGGCTGGAAGCTCTTTCCCCTTCAGTACAGGACACAGGTGGTTTGCATGGAAGCTTATTTGACAACAGTCATCAAGTGCTGACAATGTTCCAGACAATGTGCTACAGCGAGAGATAAGACAATTCACAGCTGTGTGACTTTGGCAAGTCACTGGTTCTCTACTCTTAGAGCCTCAGTTTCCCCATCTGTAATATGGGGATGATAGCTGGAATTACACTTGACTTCCCTTTCTCCTCAGTCACATCCAAACAGTTGACAAGGTGAACAAAATTTTCTGCCACTAAAATCTTTTTTCAGTCTGTCGTCTTTTGCCATCTTCTTTATAAACACCGCAGCCCAAACCATACTGGTTGTCCAGGACCTTTAACATATTCCATGAGATTAGGGAGGGGGTAGGAGTGGAGGGCAATAGTCTTGGGAGTGACCCCAGATCCATTCCAAGGTCAAAGAAACTAACAGGATCTGACTTGACCCCTGTGTTCTCATGTCTTCCCACTACTCCTGTTATTTACTCTGTTCCACCCACACTGGCTGCTCTTTGAACAGATCAAGGACATTCCCAGCTTAAAGCCTTCGTGCCAATTGTTCCCTCTGCCTGGAAGGCTTTCCCTCCAGATTGTCACTGGGCCGTCCCCCTGTCTTCCTTCAGGTTTCAGTGCTAAGACTACTGCTTCAGTGAGGCCTTCTCTGATGCTTATTATCTATTTACTTGTGTTCATTTTCTCCATAGCTTTCTCTATTTTCAAAACCAATCTTATTTATTTATGTATTGGCTTGTTAATTGTCTCTTGCCTCACTAGAGTATAAGCACCAAGATAAATGAGATCATGCCTGCATTTTTTTCTGCTTACCCCTAGTGTCTTGAACAGAGCACATAGTAGGTGTTGATGAATGAACAGATTTGTTCAATGAATGAGCGTTGAATGGATTGTTCTGAGCATTACGATAGTTGGTCTACTCATTTGCTAGTTCATTCACAAAATGTATATATTGTACCTACTATGTGCTAGGCTCTGTGGCAGTGATTTGGGCCTTGAGGTCTGTGCTGTCCAGCATCTCACACATGGGTGGGTGGGAGGGATGGAGGGGTTATGTGAAAACCTTAGAAAGTTCTAGAAATGGCAGAAGAGATGGTTGTAAAGAACTTGTTCCTATTTCTGTACATGTGGGAGAATTAGAATCCCTCCTCTCATGCCTGCCCATCTCCTGCAGAGAAAGCCTATTTCTGCCAGGACCGCTTCTACTGGCGCGTGAGTTCCCGGAATGAGGTGAACCAGGTGGACGAAGTGGGCTACGTGACCTATGACATCCTGCAGTGCCCTGAGGACTAGGGCTCCCGTCCTGCTTTGGCAGTGCCATGTAAATCCCCACGGGGACCAGCCCTGGGGAAGGAGCCAGTTTGCCGGATACAAACTGGTGTTGTGTTCTGCAGTGCAGGGAGGAGTGGTGGTGGGCTGGGCCCTCTCTTCCCACCTTCCTTTTCTATTGGAGTGTTTCTAATAAACTTGGATTATCTAACCTTTAGAAGCAGACTTTATTTATATATGTATGCACGCATGTATGCACGTATGCGTTGAACTGATAGAGTGCAAAAGAAAAACAAATAACTGATAGAGTGCTTTCTATGCGCCAGAAAGTGTTCTAGGAGCTGTAATTGTTAACATACTCAATCCTCCCTATTAGGAAAGTATGATGTGAAGTCAAGGAAATGATCAGCCTGTTTGATGAATATTCATCAAACATTTATTAAGCCCCTATATAGAGCCAGGCCCTGTACTGGGCACTGGTGATAGAGAAATGAGTTAGACTTTAGAATGCATAAGATTGCCCTTGGAACTTGCTTAAAATGAATGCAACTCCAGGCTCCACCTCCAGAGAGTCTAACTTATTTACAAGGGTAATTCTGTGGCTGGTGGGCGTGGGATCACACTTGGTGAGTGTGCAGCGTATGATCTTTTATTCAATAATACTGAAGTGTATGTGTGTGTGTTTGTGTCTATGTGTTGTGGTTGAGGTCCAGGAACATTTCTCAGTCAAGATGACGTCTGAAGTGGAATTGAATCAAAAAGGATGAATGAGAGCTTCTTGTGCAAGGGATAGTCTTCTTAGAGGGTAATTTACCAAGAACCACTAAACCTAAAACTGTAACTACGTTCTGACCTTCACACACGTGCACAAGACAACACATAGAAGGATGTTGATTGCAGCACTGCTTGTTAGTGAAAAACTGGCAATAACCTAGGTGCCCAGGAGTAAGGCAGTGGATAAATAAAATATGGATCATACACCTGATGATAGTAGCCACCCCTTGAATAGCACGATGTACCAGGCACTGTTCTATGTGCATTATGTGTGATAAGACAACCAGATGAGATAGGTACTCCTATTACTTTGTAGGTACTATTATTACTGCCATCACCAAGCCCTTGCTTTACAGATGAGGAAACTAAGGCACAGAGAATTACACAGCTCACCCAAAGTCTCATAGGTAGTGAGTGGCAACAGTGGGATTTGAATGTGGGTTCTTGGTGCAAGTGCTGGGAGAAGAAAAAGCAGTGGCTGTCTGGAGAACTTCAAATGGCTCAGAACTAGAGCGTGGGGTAGTAGCAGGTGGATAAGGGGGAATGGAGAGGATTCTGGAATGGTTAAGATAGGAGTGCTAGCTTGGGCTAGATGAGAGAAGTCCTGAATGCCAGGCTGAGTATGAATTTGACCTTCAGGATCAAAATCAGCAAAGGGACTTGACTGAAAGATTGAGGCCCATGAGTGGAGGTGATGGGTTTGATCAGAGTTGATCATCTGGACCCAGAGCCCACATGGGAATTTTTTTTTTTTTTTTTTTTTGAGACAGAGTCCCACTCTGTCGCCAGGCACCAGGCTGGAGTGCAGTGGCGCAATCTCGGCTCACTGAAACCTCCACCTCCTGGGTTCAAGCAATTCTCCTGCCTCAGCCTCCCGAGTAGCTGGGACTACAGGCGTGCGCCACCACGCCCAGCTAATTTTTGTATTTTTTTAGTAGAGATGGGGTTTTACCATGTTGGCCAGGATGGTCTCGATCTCTTGACCTCATGATCCGCCTGCCTCGGCCTCCCAAAGTGCTGGGATTACAGGCATGAGCCACTGCGCCCGGCCGCCCACATGGGAATTTAAGGAGGAGTCCAGAGGACTGCCCCCCTGAGCTTCCTCTCTCATCTGTTTCTTGCTCACAAATGACCCACACCCACTGGTGTACAAACATTCCCCGCCATGGCTTGTTTACAGTCTCTCTTAACTCCTGCTTCCCTGTAGATAGTAGTCCATTTCTCTACCCTTCCCACCCCTATTTATGAGAAAACTTCCCAAAAGCATGGTCACTACTCACTGCCTCCACTTCCTCAATCCCCATTCTCTCCTCAGCCATTTCCAGCCTGGCTCCCACCCCACTATGCCACCAAAGTCACCCTCTTCAAAGCTATTTGTGACCTACTTGTAGCTAGATGTGACAGGAGCTCCTCTCTGCTCATCCCACACCAACTCTCCCCACATTGACATGGTGGATCCTGCCCTTCTTCCTGAAACTCTCGGCTTCTGGAACCTTACTTCCGGGTCTCCTTCTACCTCACTGGGTGGATCTTCCTCTTTCTGGTGACAAAGGCACCCTTGTGCTCAATCCTGGGAATTCTCTGCTCTGTGTATACTCATTCCCTGTGATGTCTGGTAGCCCACAGCCTTTTTTTTTCTTTTTCTTTTTTTCTTGTTTTGCATCTTGGTGGTCATATTTATTGGAAGAGCTTGAGAAAAATGAAAATACCATTTAGCTTAAGAAGTTGTGAGTTACTGCAAATGAACTCATTTCAGGAGTGGAAGAATCCCCAGAATTATTTCTTTTTTTTTTTTTTTTTGAGACGGAGTTTCGCTCTTGTTACCCAGGCTGGAGTGCAATGGCACGATCTCGGCTCACCGCAACCTCTGCTTCCTGGGTTCAGGCAATTCTCCTGCCTCAGCCTCCTGAGTAGCTGGGATTACAGGCACGCGCCACCATGCCCAGCTAATTTTTTTTTGTAGTTTTAGTAGAGACGGGGTTTCACCATGTTGACCAGGATGGTCTCGATCTCTTGACCTCGTGATCCACCCGCCTCGGCCTCCCAAAGTGCTGGGATTACAGGCTTGAGCCACTGCGCCCAGCCCACAAATGGTTATTATATACTAACCATTTCTGGGAGATATAATACATGAGCTTCTGCACTCTTAATCGGGGGAAAATCCCTGGTCCCAATGGGAACAGATATGGGAATGATCCATTCTACTGAGGACTCTCAGGAATATTTCAAAGAAGTGACGTTGCAATGTTAGCATCAACTTGAAAATGACTGTTCGGCTCACTGCAACCTCCGCCTCCTGGGTTCAGGCAATTCTCCTGCCTCAGCCTCCTGAGTAGCTGGGATTACAGGCACGCACAACCATGCCCAGCTAATTTTTTGTATTTTTAGTAGAGACGAGGTTTCCCCATGTTAACCAGGATGGTCTCGATCTCTTGACCTCGTGATCCACCCGCCTCGGCCTCCCAAAGTGCTGGGATTACAGGCTTGAGCCACCGCGCCCAGCCCAGAATTATTTCTTAATATCAAAATGTATGCAGGTTTCTCTTTTGAATGTCCTGTACATTTAGAGAGGCCATTGCACAAAGTCTCCTGTTTTCCATATAGAACAAATTCTTTGTTTCAGTGAACTCTCAGTGGAGGGGCAACCAAGACAATGCCATCTCCCTGGACAAAGAGCACTGGAATATTCCGTTTGTTGATTTACATATATCTTCCTATGTTTCGTCACCAATTTCTATAGTACTTACAGTTTCTTCCACATCTCCCAAGAACACATTTAAATGTTGATCATAAGCATGTAATCTGCCTCGAAGCTCTTGGCCATTTCTCATTTTCACATAAATTCGCTCATCTAGGCTGAGCCTGATAAGATCCAGGGGCTCCTCTGCAGTGTTGGTAGTTTGTTGCTCATCTACATCGTCTGCCATGTTTCACGTCCACACCCAATAGCATCTCTCTGCTAAAGACCTGACATTTACATTCCCTGCCTTAACCTCCTCTCCCTTGCTCTGAGCTCCAGGCTCCTATGTTCAACTGCCTACTCCACGTTGCTCCTTAGCTGCCTAACAGGCCTCTCAACCTAATGGGTCCAAATGGAACTTCTGGGCTCCACCTTCCAAACATGCTCCTCTGTTTTTAATTAACTACCTTAATAAGAGACCACATCATCCACCCTCAATCAAGCTGAACACCTAATCAGTCCTAAAATCTAGGAATCAGTTATTTAAACTTCTTTTCTAGTTCAGGGCTTCTCAATCTCTACACTATTGACATTTTGGGCTGGATCCTTTGTTGTGGGGGATTGTCTGACACTGTACATCTACCCTGTACCTTGTAGCATGTTCAATGTCTTCCCCTAGGAGGTGGCAGGATCCATGGCGAGATGCCAGGCCCATTCAGGGTCAGCCCCCTCTGCTAAGGCCCCAGTATGGGGATAGGGTGCAGCAGGGTAACGTTGAACTGTGACTCTTGGCCAGGCAGCCCTGGTACAAGCCCAGATGGCCCAAGAGGCCTTTAGCCCCTAGATGCTACCCCCCACTCCAGCTGTGATAACCAACAATGTCTCTGAATATTGCCAAACATTCCCTGGTGGGAACATTGCCCCCAGTTGAGAACCATTGTTTTAATATAATAAATATACAAAGGTATCTATCATAAGTGTACATTTGAAGACATTTTCACAAATGGAACACAAGTGTATAACCTGCACCAAGTCAAGAAACAAGAGACTGAGCGTGGTGGCTGATGTCTGTAATCCCAGCACTTTAAGAGGCCAAAGCAGGTAGATGATTTGAGGTCAAGAGTTCGAAACCAGCCTGGCCAAAATGGTGAAGACTCATCTCTACTAAAAATACAAAAATTAGCTGGGTGTGGTTGTGGGCACCTGTAATCCCAACTACTTGGGAGACTGAGGTAGGAGAATTGCTTGAATCCAGGAGGTGGAGGTTGCAGTGAGCTGAGATCATGCCACTGTACTCCAGCCTGGGTGACAGAGTAAGACTTTGTCTCAACAACGACAAAGAAAGAAATATAATGTTATCAGCACCCTAGAAGCCTGCTTGCAATCACCACCTCTTCTCCCCAAGGGGTACCACTATCATGACTTCTAACAGCTTAGACTTTGACTATTTTTTTACTTTATTTAAAATAGTATTATAGGGTATGTATTCTTTTGGGTCTGGATTCTTTTTCTCAAGGTTCTATTTGTGAGATTCATCCATACTGTTCTGAGAATTGTAGATGAAATTCCATTGTGTGAAGGTACTACAACTTATTTCTCCATTTTGCTGTTGACAAGCATTTGGGTAGATCCCGAGTTGGGGTATTATGTACAATGCCCCAGGAACATTCATGTAAATGTCTCTTGGTGAACACGGGCAGTCATTTCTTTGGGGTATATACCTAGAAGGAAAACTGCTGGATTGAAGGATGTGTGTATGTTCAGCTTTAGCAGATGTTACCAAACAGTTTCCCAAAGTAGTTTTTGCCTAAATACACTCCCACCAGCGATGTATGAATTGCCAGGATTTCTCCTTGACTTCACTCTTATGGTCACGTGCCACATCTGATCCATCAGCAGGTCCTGATGGTTTCCCTTTCAAAACCTAACTGGAATCAGGCAACTGCCACCACTCTAGTCTGGCTGTCACCACTCCCCAGCTGGGGGTCTGCAGGAGCCTCCTAATTAGACTCCCAGCTCCTACTTTTGCCATTTTTTTTTTTTTTTTTTTTTTTTTTTTTTTTGAGGCTTGATCTTGGCTCACTGCAACCTCTACCTCCTGGTTTCAAGTGATTCTCCTGCCTCAGCCTCCCAAGTAGCTGGGATTACAGGCATGTGCCACCATGCCCAGCTAATTTTTGTATTTTTAGTAAAGACAGGGTTTCACCATGTTGCTCAGTATGGTCTCGAACTCCTGACCTTGTGATCTGCCTCCTCGGCCTCCTAAAATGCTAGGATTACAGGCATGAGCCACTGTGCATGGCCCTTGCCATTCTTTAGTTGAGCCTTCACCCAGCAACCAGAATGATCCTGTTAAATTATAAATCAGATCACATCACTCCCCTGCTCAAAAAATCCAGGCTCCTCCCCAAAGCCTTCAGAAGACCACATGATCTGCCCTTCTGTCTTCCCTCATCTCCACTCAGTCTCTTCCAGACACAATGGACTTGCTGTTTCTTGGACAGTCGGGGTTCCTTCTCACCCCAGGTTTCTGCAGTTGCTGTTTCTTCTTCTAGAGAACTCTTCCCCCTAGATGTCTGCATAGCTGGCTCTTCTCATCAGTGAGGTTTCAGCTCAAATACCACATCTTCTAGGAGGCCTTCTCAGACCACCCCTAAAGCAGTCTTCCCTCTTACCCATTATCCCATGGCCCCATTTTTAAACATACACCCAATCTCAAATGATCTCATCTATGATAAGATTATCATCTACGTATAATCTTTCTCTCCTTATTAGAATTTGAGCCACGTAAGGGCAAGAAGCCAGTGGATCTCATTAACAGACGTATCCCTCGCACTATTACCTGAAACACAGGAGTGTTATCCATATGTGCTGAATGAATGAACGAATGAATGAGCCCCAGGTGTTTAGGAAGACCCTAGCATAGATGCCCGCATTGTAGGGACGACTCTCACCTGCAGGTGGCCTCCTCAGGCCCTTCGGGTGACACTGGGAGCACAGGGCCTCCCAGCGAAGTGGCCAGATTCAGGAGCCCTCCGCACAGCGGGCACTAGGACCCTGCGCAGCGCCGCGTCTGGCAGGGGGCGGCGGGCGGGGGGTGGGGGGGATCCGCTCTTTCTCCCTCCTAGAGCCCGGCTGCAGCCACTTGTGCGATCCGGGCCCTCGCCGCGGCCGCCTGGCCTCTTTCCGTGCCATGAGCCGCAGGTTCACCGTCACCTCGCTGCCCCCGGCAGGGCCCGCCAGAAGCCCTGACCCGGAGTCCCGCCGGCATTCGGTCGCAGACCCCCGCCACCTCCCGGGGGAAGACGTCAAAGGTAGAGGCCGCAGGGGGCGGGGCCTGCCGGTACCGGGCGGGGCGACGAGGGGGAGGGGCCGGGGCGGACCGTCTGTTGGAGGGGGCGGGACCAGGACCGGGGGCGGGGAGGGGTCCCAGCTCTAGGCCTGAGAGGGGAACGGAGCCGGGACCAGGAAACCGTGAAGGGGAGGAGCCAGACGTGAGGTGGGCGTGACCACAAGGGAAAGGGGTGGGGCCAGGGAAGGAGTTGGGATGGAGGCGAAGGGGGCGGGTCTGGTGATGGAGGGGCGGGGGGGCAAGGCGGAGACTAGGCCGGATGGTACTAATGGGACGGGGGCATCTCTAGTAGGGAGCGGGATCAGAGCTGGGAGGTGGCACTAGGGAAAGAGAGGGCTGTGTGTTGAAGCGGGGTGGTCAGGAGCCCCTAAAAGGGAGGCGGCGGGACTAGGTCGTTTTGGGGTCAGGAAAGGTCAGGACCCGTGGGGAATGAGTTGGGCCAGGAGGATGGGAGTAGGGCCAGGGAGAGGGATGGGGTCAAGGGCGGGAGGAAAACTGAGTCAGGGTTGCGGAGGCAGGTGCCGGGTCAGCGGGTCCTCGGTGCCTGGCAGGTCCTCCAATCCTCTACCTCACTGGAGGCGTGGCGGACAGCGACTGGGGATCCCGGTAAGGAGACAGGAGGCAGGGAAGTTAGTGTGGAACCTGGGCAGCTAGATCCAGGGAGGATGCCGTAGCGTCGCTGAATCCAACCCTCGGGGACCCACTTAGCTCCTTGTCTGCTCCAGCTCTGTAAGAGTTGGTAGAAGCCGGCATAGGCGAGGTTGGGGCGTCTTCATCGCGGGCCCTGTGCAGGGGTCTTGTAACGGAAGTTACACGCAGGGCAGAGTAGAGGGGAAGGGAAAGATCCTTCTGGCCTTCGATGGAGAAGTAGCATCCTGGATGCGTGCACAGTCTCCCCGCAGGGGCACTCATCAGGGGACCTCTCCCTGGCTCTTAGGCCCTCGGGTCTGGAAGGAGCAAGGCGAATCGGCTTGTAGTGGCCCCAGCAAGGGGAGGAGGAGGAGGAGGAGGAGGAGGAGGAGGAGCCTCCCCAAGCCGCCAGGGGTCGCTGCCGAGCCGCAGGTGAGCTCGCCCCGAAGCTAACCCAAGAGCCGAAACCCCTAGAGTAGCCCTTAGGGGGTTATCTGGCGAACCTCCTCATTGTACAGATGACCAAATTGAGGCCTAGAATTCCGAAGGGCTCAGTCTCGTGAACCGAACGCCTCCTGGTTGTGGCCACCTGGATTTCTTGGGCTCCTGCTACTCTTCATCTTTCTCATAATCCATCTCTTTACTCATTTTCATGAATGACCTTACCCGCCTCCCAGATCTGAAAGTCAGAAATTATGGAGCCATTCTCAACCCTTCCTTTTCTCTTTCCAGCAAATCAACTGGTCCTCACGTCTTGGCCATTCATCTCTGAAACTTACCCTGAATCTGGCAGCATCGGTCCCCCTCTGTCATCAACACCCTGCTCTAAGCCTCACGTGGCCATGACCACATCCTCTCCACTGGCCTCCCTGCCTCCAGTCCTGCCCTAGCCCTCCTCCACAAAAGCTCTCCATCACTTGCAAAATAAAGGCCAAATCCCTAAGTCTGTCATTCTCTTTCCTCATTTACTTCTGGTGTTCTTGTCCACATTCATTCTCCCACCTCCATCATCCAGGAAAACTCCTACTCATTTTGTAAGTTATAGCTCATTTAACCTTTTCCAAAAACTGTTTTCAGTTTCCTCTTCGACCCACCCACTGCACCATTAGTGCACACGTCCCAGGGGATGGCAGTCATTTTCTTTACTTATGGCTATCCTCCATCGGAACATCTCAAGGACAGGGACCATCTCCTTTTTCTTTGTGTTCTGAGTTCCAGACCCAGGGCCTGACAATTGGTAGGTGCATAATGCTCATCAGAGGAGAGGAGGGTGGCTGTGGGATCCTGCTTCTCTACCCCTGCCTTCTCTTCTCTCACTCCCCATCCCCTGGCTTAGGAATAAGACGGCCCTCTCTCATGTCCCAAGGTGATTGCTGTTTTCCCATTCACACTCTCGGGCTCCTGCACAGTTGAAGTGAAACACAGCCCCCAGGCTTTGCGTGTGCAGGTATGTGTGAGCCTGGAATGCTATGTGCTATGGCAGGAGCTGTGTGTGTGTGTCTTGTGGGAGGAGCATCCCCCATTGGTTCTGATGACCTGTGGGGTGGTCAGTGACTCACTCAGTTCTTTTATTTGTCACTGTATTGGCAGCATGTTGAAGAGTGTGCTGATGTGTGCATTTCTGCGTCTATCTGAGAGGTGGGTACCTGTGTGCAGGAGTGTATTGGAAGTTCCATCTGGACAATGATTTGTGTGACTTTTAACCTTTTAAGGCTGAAACAGCCTCAAGCACCTCCTCTTTGGTAGATCACCGCATGGGGAAGTAGACAAGGTCTCCTCAGGGGAACCCAGCATCTGGTGGTATCTTTCCCACAGCTGTTCTCGTATCAGCCCTCTGGCCTGATAGATTCTCTTCCCACCTCTTGTCCTCACCCAAAGGGAGGGATGGCAACACATCTATGATTTGGAAAGGTTAGGGGGGAGATGGTGTGTGTGTGTGTGTGTGTGTGTGTGTGAAAGAGAGAGAGAGAGAGAGAGAGAGAGAGAGAGAGAGAGGGAGGGAGATTATCTTTTATTCTGGGCCAAAGGAGCAGGGTTTGCCAGTTGGGGTGCTTTCTGCTGCCAGAGGATGAGCTATAGGTGAGAACATGACTTGCAGGGAGTTAAAGAAGCAAGGCGAGGCCGAGCCTCAAATCCAGCACTAACCCTGGATTGTGAGCCACACACCTCACTTGCTTCACCTGGGTCATGGGAGATTGATTGATGGTGACCTGGATGAACAGAAGTAGACCTGATGACAGTTGTTACAACTCTGAGATGCTCCCCTATTCCTTTACCTGATCCCCCACTGTGCCTCAGTTTCTCAGGGAGTCAGGGCCCTAAAAAGAGCCCTGGGCCTTGTAAGACTAACAGGAGTTGGGTTATTTCCCCATGGAGAGGGAGGGAGCTAACTTATGCTGGGAGGATGGAGCTAGACCACAATATAGCCCATCTGTGTCCCAGCTCAGACTCTGTTGTGTGACCTTGGGCACACTGCTTCCCCTCTCTGAGCCTCAATATACCCATCTGTAGAATAAAGGAGTTGAACAGGAAGCTATCTAAGGGTTCTTCTAGCCATAAAAATGCTAAGATTTTGTGACGATTTGAAAGGATGAAGCTCTCTGCCTCCTCTGGACCCTAACCTCATGTTTCACTCTCTCCATCTGTAAATTGGGAAGAATAATGCTGTTGTTGGTATATATATCGGATCTGGAGCTCTCCAGTCATCCCATCCCCAAGCCAGAACTCAGAACCACACTGCCCAGTACCTCAGCCCAAGGTGAGCCCCAGGAATCTCCATGGCAACAAACTGGTTATGAACGGGGCTGCAGTTGCCATGGTGACAGGCTGCTCTCTCTTTCTCTCTCTATCATCCCCGTCCTCTCCCCTCCCCTCTTCTCAATGAACCAGAGCGATCTTTAGGCCTCAGTTCTCCAGGTGGGGTGGGGGTGGGGGGTGGGTGCAGTGAGAAAGGGGTCCGGATTGGGAAAGAGGGAAGATGGGCTGACTCTGCAGGGGAATGAGGGGCTGTTGGGGTGCTGTTGCTATGGTGATGGGGCTGCAGCCTGTTAATTAAACCCCCGGTTGCCACGGAGACGGTGGTGGTTGACGTGCTCCGCAGTGAGCCCTGTGTGTGTGGGGTGTGCTTTGCACTGGACTCATCAATTCACTGCTAAGGTTTTGGGTCCAAGGATGGAGCATGCGGGTGGGTGAGAAGAAGAGTGAAGGAGGGCATTCAGGGCCTTGGGCCTATGAGGCCACAGCCAGGGGTGGGTGGGTTAGGTTGCGGGGATAAGGCAGTGGAGATGCAGAGGGAGAGGGATTGAGCCATAAGGGGGAATGCTATGCCTGCCTCCTGTGAAAAGAGGACCCAGTCCAGTGGCTCTAGCTTCCTCCAGACAGCCCCTAATTCTGGTTCAGTGGATGGAGTCCTGGGCAGGAGGTCAGGGGACTGAATTCTAGTCCCCAGCCTGTTACAAGTTCACCACATGAAGAAAATGTGAACCTTTCCATTTTCAGACTCCAATTTCACAATATGTGGAGAATGGAAAAAAATAATTTATAATGTCTCTTCCAGTTCCCAAATCCTGACACTCAGGAGGCAGCTTCTCTGAGCTTTTTTCTCTCTGAGACATATGGTGGGAGGGGATATGAGTTTGAGAAACTCAGAGTTTAGAAATAGGACCCTCCCTAGCTCTGCATCTTGTGCTGCTTTAATGAGAGGGTTTCCCTAGCCCCAGATCTCCCCAGGGTTCTTGGTGGGGAGGGGATGCTGTTCTGGCAGCCAGATTCCTGGGGTTCTGGGTTGCAGGTCGCCTTTTCCTGTCCAGTGCCAGGCTGGCAGTGTAGCAGATTCCTGCCATGTGTTTCTAAACCTCACCACAGAGAGCTGGCTGGAGGCCAGAATAGGGCACAGTCTTCCTGAGAGGTGTCAATGGAGGGACTGGGGTCTCCCCTTGGGACTGTCTGTTCACTTGGTATGGCCCCCTCAGGAAGGGATATGTGGCTTTGGTCTGAGATTAGTAGAGAGAGCACTAAGAGTTTTCAGAGCAGGAAGAAGTGCCATGGATTATGCAACCTAAGTCACTTTTACAGACGGGATACTGAGGCCCACAGAGAGAAGTCCAATTTTGCCCAGGGATATACAGAGAATTTGGGGGCAGAGGATACGATAGAATCACTATCTTTTGAATCTCAGATGGCCCTTGAGATGGGAACTCTAGTGAAGGTGGACAGATGGGTTACCCAGGAGAAGTGGAATCACTACTGCCTTCACCTATATTCCCTAGAATCTTCATGTATGGACCCAGACCCTGAGTGGCCAAAGCTGGACCACAAATGATGGAAAATAACCCCAGGGGAACACGCAGACTTGGGATTGCTGAAAAACCTCAGCAACTTCTTCATTCCACAGCACTTCTCAGAAAAACATGCTAAACGTGTTTTACTATGTTATGCATCTCTGCAGAGTAGTAGACCACAGTGCTGCTGCTGCTGCTGTTGCTGCTGGGGTGTGTGTGTGTGTGTGTGTGTGTGTGTGTGTGTGTAGGTGTAGTGGAATGCTTAAAAATTTTTGAGCACTGGCCTTCTCATCTGCTATTCTTTTAACCTCTGTCACCAAACTCATCTTACCCTTTTGGTGGTTTTCTTTTTGGGAGTGCCAAGAATACCCATGCCCACAACTTGTCTGAATAGCTAACTCTTCACCCTTTAGGGTCCTTTGGGTATCCGAAAAACCAAGTGGCAGCAATACTTGGTCGGTAGGTCCCTCAGAGGCATCTTTGAATCAGTTGCTGAAGACTCCACGGTTGACCCAAACTGAAGCCACTGACAAATTTTATCAATACAAGTAAAGCTGAGCCTTGGGCCCTGTCCATGGTTCTGAAAAAGTGCTGTCCTATATCTTGGTCTCCAGGTATACGAATGGCTCTTTAGGATCGTTGCATGTTTTCTGGAGGCTTCCCTTTCAGTTGCAAGCCAAGAGTCCATTCTAGCCCTGCAATTTTGAAGCCTGAGCACAAGAAAAGGAAGAAAGCGCATCTCAGACCTAGTTCCTGTTTCTTTTCTTTTTTTCAGGAGCTAATGATCAGCAGCTGCTGAGGGGCTTGGATATGACTGCACCCTTGTCTCTTTTATGGAGGCAAGACAGATTTTATAAGTTCTATTGATGACACGAGTCCTAAACTGAAGTGAGGCAAACAGGATGCTAGACAAAATTCTGCCATTCACTGGTGTTATGTCCACAGGCAGTCATTTTCCCTCTATGGGCCTTAGTTTTTTCATCTGTGAAATGAAAGCTGTGTGTAAGATTCAATGACTGATCCTTTCCCAACCCTAGAACTCTTCTGGAATTTAGAGAATCAGTGAGAGAGCCAGTGCGAGTCTGAAAATTGTTTACCCCGATTAACTCCCACCCTCAGATGTTTAGATCTTCCAGAGGCTGAAAGCTTGCAAACCTCTGATGCCAATTCCTGAGACATCTGCACCACTGGCTCAAACCTGGGCCCTGGGGGTGCTGAGGGGTCCCAGGATGATCAAGCTTTTGGGGGATTGGCCTCAGGGGAGGGGGGAGGAGGACAGAGAGCATGTAGGCTCTGGAAGCCTCAGAAAGCAATCCTGGATTAGGGGATTAGACACTTCTGCCCCAGGAGAAAATCTGGTCTCAAACCGACAGGCGGCCTCATTCCCCCCTCCCCCACTCTGTCCTGGCCAGCCTCGGGACCGGCCTGTCCTCCCTAGAGGCTGCACCATCTCTGGTGGAAAGTCAGTGCTCCCTGGAACCTCACTGCTGCCTCTTCTCTTTACCAGGTCTTATCCCTAGATTAGTCTGCAGTCAGAAGGTCCCTGGCTGTGGGCTCCAGGGATGTGTCTTGGGAGTGGGATGCTGGGACTCCTGTCAGTCTAAGCACAGTGAGAGAGTTCCTTGTAACTCCTCAGGCGCTAACGCCCTCCATTTTAAGACAGGTTGGGCCAGACAGTCAGCCCAGTGACCTGAATGCCCCTGGGGGTAGCACATTGCTTTAGTTATGGGCCCTGGGCTCTACATGCCTCCAGCTCCAATCTCTTGAACAGTGGTATGAAAGAGGGTTTGGCTCTCCTCCCCCACTTCGGGGTTGGCCTCTCCAGTCTTGCAGAGAGGCTTCCCAAGGGCCTCATATTCCATGGCGCACCTCCATGGCCACTTCAGTGCCCTTTATCTTCCCCCTGGGGGCTACTCCAGACCCCTGGTCGGGCAGCCGCTGCGGGGCCGCCTCCCCGCGGCCGCGACCTAGTTCCCTGCCGTTATTTTTAGGGCGCGGGATGGCACCTGCCCACGTGCCGCGCCCCGCCCGGAGAGTGGGTGGGGGGGAGCTGCGTCTGCTCAAGGGAGGCGAGGCCCTGTCCCCTGAAGCACCCCCTTCATCCCACCCACGCAATCCCCCAGTTTTCGTGCAAGGGGGCCACCAGTCGCGCTCTGCCCGCCCCTCATCGTCTCTTCTCCCTCCCTCCCGCTCTCCCCCCCAAAACCCCGCCAGTGGCTCACGCCTCCTGCATACGGGATGAGGTGAGCAGCGCCGCTGCTGAGAGGGGGCGCGCGCGGGTGTGAGCGTGTGTCCGTGTGCGAGTGTGTGTGCGCCGGGCGGGCGGGCACTGCAGCTTCTTCCTCCGTGGAGCGGAGAGCGAGAGCGAGAGCGAGCTAGAGCGAACGAGAGAGCGGCGAAGGCAGGCAGAGGGGCGCAGGCGAGGCGGCGCAGCCATCCCCGGACCAGGGGCCGCGCCGCCACCATGCTAAACAACCTGACGGACTGCGAAGACGGCGATGGGGGAGCAAACCCGGGTAAGCTGTGGTCCGGGGGCGGCGGGGGAGGGGGCAGCGAGGAAAGGAGGCAGCTCTGGGGCTAGAGGCGGAGCGGGGGCCACCTCCTTCAGAGAGGAGGGTGGGACTGACCCAGGCAGTGGGCGCCGGCAGAAGCCTGGAGTCCAGCTCCATTGGAATGCTCCGGCCGCTGTCCAAGGTGCTGGAATGCGCCGCGCCCGGGTGCAGAGCTGGGGGCCGGGGCGGGGGGGATTGTCGCTGTCCACGGCTTCGGGCCGACTTGGGTTAGCTAAACAGAGGGAGGTGGTGGGAAGGGGATAGAAGAGCTAGAATGGGCTGACATGGAGCTCGACGGCGGGAGGAGGATTCCTTTCCCCGACAGGGGACCCCGGCGTCCTGGCGCAGAGCGGGCACCGGTGGTGCCGGGGGGCGCAGTCTGCTGCAGTCCCTGGTTCTAAGACTTCCATCTGGAAGATGGGGGAAGAGGTGGCTGTGTGTGTGTGTGTGTGTGTGTGTGTGTGTGTGTGTATAAGGGGTTGGGGCTACATGACAACCCCCGTCCGGGCTGCGGTGTCTCCTTAAGGGAACCCTTGGTGCAATCTGGGACCCCTCCCCCAAGGCTTCCCAAGGTCCGACCTCTGACTGAAGCATACCTCCTCCATTGATTTTCAGTTCTACTTTGCAGAATCTCCCCCTCTCTCTCTCGCTTTCCCGTGGGTTCCTCTTTAGGACAGGAAGGAAGATCACCCTCTTTTCTTCCCTCTTTCCCCCTCCTCTCAGTTCTCTGGGGCGGTCCAGTGTAGCGGGGGGATTCTTTTCAGTTAGCTCTGCTAGCTCCCCCAGTGAGGCCTCAGAAATGGGGTCCCAGCGGCTGAATCCTCAGCGCCGCGGCGCGGACACTGCGGACGCGCTGCGGTGGGTGCGGAGACTCGCAAGGAGCGGAGGGGCTTGGTACAAGTCCTTTTGCTGCTCCCGCTCTCCCCCGCCCTCCTCCGCGGTTTCCTTGCTCCGAGGTCTTGGGGCCAGCCACCCCCTCAGGCTCTCAGGTCCCCCGCCGCCCCCCAGCGGTCTCAGCCATCCATCACGGCTGTCAGCCGCCCCCACCCCCCGCTCTCCAGAGGCGCTGCGTCCCCTGCGCACTAGCGTGCCTCCTGCTCCTGCTGTCTGCGCTCAGCGCCTTCAAACGTTCCCCTGGGCACTGCTTGACCCTATGAGCCGACTCCTGCAGATCCCTCTGGGGGATGGTCCCTAGGGCTGAAAGAGCAGGGTGTTCTAGGGATTGGCAACCTTGACTCTGAGGTCCTCCTGATCCTGGATACTGAATCTCAATCAGGGCCAGTGGCCACTTGGAAAAGCTGGGGACACCAGGGTCCCTATCCTTTGTCTGACCTCCCACCCCCCGTAACTCCTAATTTCTCTTGGGGGCTGAGTGGCATACAGGTGCCAGAACTCCTAGCTGGCCAGCTTATCCACCTCCCCAGTGACCCTGGGATCACCTCATCCAGCATCCGCCCCCTCCCCCGCGGGCTTCTGGCTGGAGGGGGAGGGGGTTTGGCAAAGTTGAGCCTGCGGCAGCGCCAGGCATCCTGACGCGGATCTTTCCATCTGGGATCCCCTTCAGATGCCTCCACTTTGAAAGGGGGACTCAGATGAGAGAGCATCTCTCTGTTCCCTCAGACACCGGGTATGGTCCTGTACCCCAGCACCCGCTTTCTCTGCTAAGGTTTCACCAGGCCTTGGGGTTTCCATGGGGTCTTAGGAGGCCTAGAAAAGAGGCATCAGTTTGTATGAGGCAAGAGTTGAACTGGGAACTCGCTTCAGTTCTATCCCCTCTCTGTTAGTTTCTAGACACTGAGTGCAGCGGACCCATTTGGAGACCTTCTTTCTATACATAGGGTCCAGGACCTGGAACGCCAGTGGCCAGAACCTGGGTCAGGTGCTCTGGGTCCCAGAGAGAGAAGATCCCCACCCCACACCCCCACCCTCCAGTGGTGCCTGGAGATGGTGGTAAGAGGTGCTAAGGACCTTATGGACTTGAGGGAGGACCATCAGGCCAAGAGCCCCTGACATCTCTGATTCTAGATTCTTGGGGATGTACGGGAAGGAACTGGTTGCTGACCTCGCTGGCAAGTGGGAATGGCCCAAGTAAGTGGGCACTTCTGGACTAAAGAAGAACCCAGGGATGTGTCCCGGTCTCCTTTCCCCTTGGGGTCTGACACCCCTTCTCCCTCTTGGAGCTGGCCTAGGGATTCCCCCAGGCCCAGCCCCAGGCTCCGGGGAGGCTTCTTAGCCTGCGCCGCTCGCCTGTTTCCTCCCCGGGAGCTCTGGCCGCCGCAGCTTAATTGAAAGCCGATTCGGGTTGAGAGCTCCCAGGGGGCGGGGGTGGGGAGGGCTCAGTCTCAGTCTGGCCCTGCCTCTGGAGTGCGCCGCTCGGCGCTCCTGCATCACCCTTACTCTTGGCTCTGGGGAATCAGGGCGAGTTTCCCCTTAGCTGTTCTGGTTCTTTGAGAACTCGGAAGCTCATTCCCCATCCCCCTCAACGAGTGCTCATGGCGTTCCACGGAGCGGACGAAATCAGCCTTGGCTGACAAGTCCTGGGAGCCTGGCGTCCCGCCCAGGCAGCTAGTGGAAAGGCGGGACCCAGGATGAGCCTACCTAGCCGCCCTCTCCTTTGCCCTCATCTCCTGGCCCGGATCCGGCCTGGAGTCTGGCTCTGCGCTGCGCGCCGCGTTACATAAGCGGCTGCGGGCGCGCGGCCCGCTAGGCTCGGCGCTGCGCTCTCGGCCTGCGCGGTCGCCATGGAGACCGGCGCCGGGCCACCTAGTTGCAGGGTCTCGGCCCGGACGCCCCCATTCCCGTCCCCTGAGTGCCACCCGCCCCTGCGAAGGAGGAGGCGCTTGGGAGGGGGCGTGAAAGGCAGAGGGGAGGGGTTTTCTGGTCTCGTCCTGGCCCTAAGAGGGAACGCTGGGGGGAAAGGGACCCAGCTCCATAGGAGACAGGACCCCTAAATCTTATGGCTGGAGGTGCCGTATGGGATGGGGAGCCCAGGCTGGGGAGGCACCAAGTATGTTAATAATAATCGCAATTGCAATAGTAGCACCAATAGCCACACTCGTGGCTGGCACACCTAAAATGCATGATTTAATTTAATCCCCGCAACGGCCCTATGAGTTAAGCTTGGTTAGTATGCTTTTGCAAAGGAGGAAACTGAGGCGTAGAGAGTTTGTGACTTGCTGAAAGTGACGACACAGCCAGTGAAGCTGGGACTGGAATGTCTGTTTCCATAACTCCAGCCCCCTTTCTTAACCGTTAGGAAACTTCCTCTCGCCTCAGGTCCCCTTAACTTCTCTAGTCCACACCATGGTGTGCTGAGAACAGGAGGCAGCATTTTAACAGGAGCGGGAATCTACTTCGTCCTTGTTTCTCCTGTTCTCTGGTCCCAGAGAGTTATTCTGAGATCCTGGGGTACAGAGGGGAGCCCCGGATAATTTAGTCCCAAATACTTTTTCCTGACCACCTATTACACGCTGGGCTCCCACTGGGAGGATGGGTCTGTTATTCCCAGGAACTCACATATGGGAGAAGAAAGAGCTGACGTCCCCTATTTGGCAACCAGGAGTTTCTGCCTTGATGGATGAGGTGGAGGTGGTGGCAGAAGACTTGGTGGTGGGTTTCCTTGGAGCAGGTGAGGCATCAGTCCTCCTGGTCCAATTTTTAGTCAGGAAGAGATTGGTTTTATAACAGAGACAGGGCATGCTCTCGCTGGGTGATTGAGGAAGGTTTCCAGAAGGTAGAGATGAGGACCAGGAAGATGCAGATGAATGGAGATGGGGAGAAAGGGATGTCAGCTGTTGAGGGGACAGGAGAATCAAGGTATGTAGGCCCTCAATTTTACTTGGAATTTGGTCAGTGGGGAGTTTCTCCAGTGTCCAGAGAGATGTCAACTGCTGGAACTCAGCCCTGGAATTGAAGAAGGGTCATGGCTGAAGCCAAGGAAATGTACCTTTGGGGCCTCTTATATCTTTCGGAAGGGATCTTCCCCCTGGTGCCCAAGATACTTTCTCCTCGAGTGATCTCATCCAGGTGCATGGCTTCACATGCATCCTACACATATTTACATGGCTTACCCCCACCTCTTTCTCCTGGCCAGCCTCTTTGCTGCATGTATCCTGATTCGTATATCCAGGTGGCTTCCGGATGTATCCACTTGAGTGCCCTACAGTGCCTCACCCTCAGCTAAATTCAGCATCTTCTCCACCTCCAAACTCCTCCTCTTCTAGTCTTCCCATTTATTAAATAGCACCATCATCCAACCATTCACCCATGCTAGAAACCCCAGGCGTTATCCTGGATTCTTCCTCTCCCCCTCCCCAAACATCTGGCATTGAAATATGCCAGTAATTCTGTCTATTGCTCTACATTGCTCTGGTCAGGGACATCATCAGCCCTAACCTGGTTTACTGAAAGTCTCTAACCACTGTACTTTGTTTTCTTCACCTAAAACCTTGAATGATGGCTCTAAAACATGGATTTATTCATGGCACTTTTTAAAATTTTTTTCTGAAACACTTCAATGCCTCCCCATTGCCCTCTGGATAAGGTCCACATTCTTGAACATGACCTGCTAAATGCTTA